GTAGACTCAACGACTTATAGTTTTGTCAATGAACAAACAAATGTGTACCTAATACACACACTCGGTCCTGCGATTTATTTAAAGTTCACGAGCTCACATAATTTAGGGGAGTAATTTCCATGACATGCTATTAATATTTTTAATTTATTATTATGACAATTTATAATTTAATGTATTTAATTTTTGGTATTAAAATTGTTTTACAAAATTACAAAAATCGAGTGTTTTTGTCTATAAATAAATTATAATGTACTTAATCTATGAACAGGACTGGTTTTGGAAGGGATGAGGTGATCCCACGCTTTAATCCGAACAAATATGTTAAAATTTAAATTTAAAGCAAAATTGATCGAAAAAAATTCAAGCCGAGTTTATTAAATTTATAGTTAAAAATAAAATATACTCCTGCAAAACTTAAATTTCGATATTATCGTGAATACTTACTTACTACATAGATTAAATAAATATGGAGACTTATGTATTTAATCTAAACTTACTAGTGTTGCCAGATTTTTAAGTAGGTTATTAGTAAAAATCCTTAACCAAAACTAATCAAAGGTTTAAAAAAAGTAGAGTAAATTAGAATTCTAGTACTTCATGATAATATTATGTATGGAAATTTCATACATAACATTATTATATGAATATAATTAAATAATGTTCATAATATTATATTATATATATATAATATATACATAATATTATAATGAAGTCAAAAATAAAAAATTTAAATTACCGCGTAAAGTTTAACCAATAGAATCGCGCGACATTTACGCTATCTATCAACATAATCGCCTGCGTCCAACGTATCGTTTCGCTGCGTCCATTCGTGATAAATATGTGGTTGCCAAAAATGTACACGGGATGGCATATCTATATGTATTTAATCTATGCCGCTAGGCGCCAAAATGATTTTTAATTATCATAGGTAACCAACATTCCATTGCTGGATAATGTTTCAACATTTTTTTTTTTTTAATGAGGCAAATTTTAACTCGCCCAACATTACTGACCGAGTAGCCCAATTGGCGACTGGTCGCCAATAGATATTTTTCGTCGCCAGTTGACACATAAAGATAGCCCAATTGGCGAAAAATCGCCCAACCTGGCAACACTGTGTCCGCTAGCAACCCAACTATCCCATAAGTACGATTATGCAACAAGAAATTGTTAACAATCACATAAATGGCCATTACATAAGTACTATGGGTCCCATAAATTGACTGTGCATACGGGCATTAATAAATAAGATACACTTTACCAACACACTTCTCTATGGCAAAATTGTTAATCTTTCTTTCGCATAAAACTAACATATAATAACTTATTATAATTTGCTTAAAATTACATTATAATGAATACAATTAGGAGGAGAGGTGGAGTATCACGCATAAAAAAATAAAACTACATTCCAATCTCTCCCCCCCCCCCGTAACTTTAAACATAAATAACTTAAAAACTATTATTCAAAACTGGTTATCGACCAGTCAACATTTTTGTGTGTAATCCGTGGCAGAACAAACACAATTCTCTATGGCGAAATTGTTAATATTTCTTTCGCATAAAATAACTAATATCTGGTTAAATTATAATATTAAATTGGTTATTATTTAATTTGAAACATAGTTTAATCAACTATGGCTCAAAACGATTTCAGCTTTTTACCGTTTGATAACGCTATTGTAAGTAGAATTTATTCAATCGTAGAACTATATTTAGAATTTTGTTAAATATTGCAAACATAGGTAGGAGTAGTTGGAAGCAACTGTGTTGTAATCGCCGCAGAAAGAATCGATCAATCACAAAATGCTTGCGTGTGTACGTTGGACGGTAAAATTTCAGTCGCTTGGTCCGGTAATTTTATTATATATAATTAATAAACTATTTGTAATAGGCTTACCGTTATAAAATGGTTGTGCCCATCATGTAAACACGGAAATAAAATTAGGGTTTTATAATAATTTTCCACTAAGAATGAAGTATCTAATATTTTTATGTGGTAAATGACTTTTTAAAATAGGATACTCTAAAAATTCAATAACTCAATATTTCTACAAACATAGATCAGATAAAAAATCAATTATTATGTTTTCTATTAAATATATATAACTAACCGTAATAGTTATTTGAAATAATAATAACTTGTTGCAATTAATGAACAAAATGACATATTTGTAACACTAGAATATGTCTATTACGTAACATTGTCAACTGTAAACACATCAATTATCTTCGCCTTTTTATTTCAAACCAGTTTCAGAGTTTATATTTCATTTTTATAGAATGCTAAATTTGTATTTATGGGTTTGTTACAAATAAAAAATGTTTTCACTTTTTTAAACAAAATTATCATTTAATTTCGCAAACCCTGACTGTACATTAAAATATTTAAAACATTGTACGATTTATGCAAACGCTTAAATTAATATTGGTCAATAAAAATACACTTCGAAACTTTGTAGTCATGATTGATCAGTTAGTATTTTTTTTTTCAAACGGAAATGTTTGTAATATATTATGTAGTTACTGACCGAATTGAAAAAAACATATTTGATAAAACAAATTTATAAAAAAAAAAAATACAGTGAATATATCAAATTTTCTTTTACTTTGCAAAATACCTACAGTTTAATTTGTCTTTTTTATTCTATACCTAGTTACTCAAAATTATTATTAAATGTTAATTTATTTGAGTTTATTTTTTGATATAATTACTCATTTCAAAAAATTTGCAGGCATACGTTCAATTACTTGCGTTAATTTAATTTTTATGATTTTATGAAACTTCAACCTAATTACCCAAATTACTTATTTTATAACTTAAAATTACGTTTTAAATACCATTATCATACTTTCTATCGACATGTACAAATTAAGACATTCTATTACTCTATTACTTTATATAAATTTAAATGTATAAAGAGTTATAATGATTGTATATTATGTACTTATTACTATGTATTTATTAATATAAAAATTTGATTTATACATGAGGCCTATTAAATTTTATACGGTTATTATGTACTTATCTTTTAAAATTTTTAATATACTATACATCCGTACCTTGTTTCTAAATAAGACAACTCACTTATTATAACTTTAAACTAATTTTTTAGGACTTAAGGTTTGAAAATTAAACTGAAGATAATTCTAATCCTCAGTATTATGCTTCATCAACACTCTGCCCTACCCCATTGTCCTGGCTATTTTCATTTTGTATCAAACATCGTTAAGAGTATTCTAAATTTGGTTTTCCTCTTAATCGACGGCCACCCTGTACTAAGCCTTAGGCAAGACTCGGGCTACACTAACTCCACCTTCTGCTCCTGGAAGCCGTTTGACTGCCTCCTCCACGTCTTCCTTGGTTGTCTCCTCATCCAGATTGCTGACGACAAGCTCCACCGGGATGGCGCTTGTCGTCACCGTTGCCGTTTTCCGAGGGCGGCAGCCACAGCAGTCCGGAGTTTGACCGATGCCGACACTGAGAGCAGCCTCGTCATCTTCCATGTCGCCTTCCACGATCTCCGCTATGCTCCTTTCCGCAAGCGGAGAATAGGAGCACTTCCGCTTCTTCGGGGGTTCTCGCACGAGGTCGGAGTGACCTCGTACTGCGGCATTCCGAGTTGTTCATCCTCTTCCTATGTCTCGGACATGGCGGCTTCCGCTTTAGCGCCCTCTAGCGCCTCTTTGAGTATCATTGCCATTCCATAGTAGCTTTCGTCATCGCCGTGATCCCCAAGCAGCTGTTCGACTACTACTTCCACCGCGATGATTAGTTTTCCCAACCGCGTTTCTGAGTCTCCAATTTTTCCACGGATCATTTCTCGAACTCAACTTTTTCTCTGCGGAATCTCTCCATCATCTCTGCCTCCTCTTCTGCCGCTCGTAGGTCTTCCTCCTCACTTCACGTTCACGGTCGTTGAATGACCACCGGAGTGAGCCCGCTACCTTAGGTCCGGTTTTTACACCATCATACCCACTCACTCCTGCCGCCCCCTGAGTATCCGAGACCTCTGGGGGGGGGGTAACTTTTTGATTTTTGAAAGTGCTCATGTTTAATTTTAAAGCAAATTCTAGCTGTGGTTTTTAGAGTGTCCTTCTCCTGTGGTCCTTTATTTCGTCCAAAGGTGGACCACGGACCTTGCCGACTCCAGCTACTTAAATAAGAACCGGCGCTACGTTGCCTTCCCCGTTAGCCAGCTCAATTAAGGGCTGTTACCAACCGGCACTACGTGGAGGTGGGGATAGGACTTTGCCAGTCAAGAGTATTCTAAATTACGAGTTAATAATCTAAATCATTTTTCCAACATAATTTTTTTTTTTTATTATTGATCTTTTTATACATTAGCAGCTAAGGCTATTAGTATACATTAGGTTACCATTAGAAATACATGAACATTTTATATTAAACTTTATAATTCGGTTTTTTTAAGAAAACATTAAGTTTGTGATATCTTGAGTGTTTGGTCTTAAGGCTTGAATTTATTGCTCGGAGTTGTCGAATTGGTTGCGGTAAATTTCATATTTTTGGCATTCTGTGAGTATGTGGGAGATTGTTAAAGGTATGACACCACATGCATAGCATGATGGTGGTTCTTCTTTGTTCATCAAATAACTGTGTGTTAGTTGGATGTGACCTATTCAAAGACGGTTAATCACTGTTTTTTCTTTTCTGGTGAGTCCAGGGTTTTGCCATAGTCCTATATTGTTTTTTATTCTGTTAAGTTTGGTGTTGAGATTTTGCCAGTGGAAGAGCCATTTGTTAATTGTGAGTGATTGTATTGTGTTTTTTATGTCAGGGTATGTTGAGATAATTAGTAACGGAGAAGCCGTTGAAGAGGTTGCTTTGAGTGCTTCTTGGTCTGCCTTTTCATTTCCTGGAATACAAATGTGACCAGGGATTCCAACAATTTATATTTTAGTTCTATTATACCAATAGTACATGGTACAATGTTTGTAGAATATTTTTTTATATTTCAGGAACGCATCAAGAAGCCTTAATGATTGTTGATAAAGCTAAAATGTACACTAACAGTGAACACGGTTTCAATTCTTCAGCGAATCATATTGCTGAATTTCTTGTCGGTAATACCTATTTATATTGTTATGTATTAATTATGTTTATTTTACTTGTTAATTATTATCTAGTAAAGGAATGAATATTTAAACCCTTAACTATAAAAGTAAGACACTCTATGCGTATACGTATGTCGGCAACGTTTTTTCATCTACAGACTTCGTCGTGAGTCTCCATTATTATTGTCTATTGAACCTGTTTATTAAATTAATATTTACTCTTACGCCCTAAAAATTAGCACAATTTGTGTAAAGGGATCTCTCCCCACATTTACAACCAAAGATTCCAAGTTAGAATACCATTGCGTATCACATGAAATAAGTAGTATCTTTTATACTACTTATTTCATAAATGTAATTTTGTTAATTGTTTTGAATGTGATTTCACAGTTTGGCAAAAAAAAAACAAATAAGGAGGTATTCAATCATAGTATTTATCTATGATTCAATTAACAAAATTTTAATAAGCCATAATTTATTTTTTAAGTTTTTATAATAATTATATCATGTTTACAATTTTATACATTTTTAATTATAAATTTCGTTAAGATTTAATAACATACAAATAACAAATCGATTCGGTGAAAGTATGAAATAAATTTAACCACATCTTAAAAATGCTCTCCTAAACAATTGCGTAATGTCGACTTAAAACCTTTAGTCCTATCTGGCGATTTGTTTTTGGATTAACCAACTTAATTTTTATTGTTAATTTTCTTAAAAATTAAAAAAGAAATACTTAATTTTTATATATTTTTAAGAAGTTTTCTTGTAATACAATACATTTTAATAATACAATTTTATCTACCAAATAAAATTCTGAGAAATTATTACATCATGAATTCCTTTATTACCTTAAGAGGTAAAGACATTTCCTAGAACGCGATTTCTAAGAAGCACAGCCTTTATGATAAACGTCTTTGATCAACTACTTTCTGTTGTTTAGAGGCAGCTGTATAATCTGCCACCTTTTTCATTCAGACGTAAAATACAACGAATACATTTTGTTTTCGTTTGAACTATTTACCAACATGTAGTCAACTGCTCTAGATTACATCTCTGGAGGATTTAAAACTTTATCATTAAATACCAAGTACATAATATTTAAATAATTCACTTGTTTTGTAATGTTCTACTAAGTGACACTACCGCCACTGGGCGATATCTCTAATCAAGTCTTCAAGTGAACTTACATGTTTTTTTCTTCAAAATTACATCACTTACGATTAATGTACAAAAATAAGTCTGTATGGATTATAAAATGAACGATTTTCTGAATAAATGTTTAAAAAAGGTTTAAAATGAAATTTTTTATTTGGCAGTTAAATATCACATGAATTCATTTCTATTTAGTTTATAAAAATATAATATATTATATTTTCTCTAATTCCAACCCTTTTTATTTTCAAGAAAAAATTATCATCATCTCTTTTTCTTTGGTGGATTCACTTTAAATTATACTGTATTCAAAGAACTTGATTCGATTCACTTAAACAAATTTGGGAAGCTAAAAAAAATAATGTTTCTTTATAGGTTAATACAACTAACCTCATCTAATTATATTTTAGACCCAGAACTCAGGATGCTTAATAATTTGCCGGCTTTGCCGTACAGAGAATCATTTATGGTGGCATCTTTTGACGGAGACGATCCCAATTTATACGTGACTGATTCGTATGGTACTATTTCTCAAGTTCTTGTAAGTTTTGATCACCGTTAACCATTCGTCATATCATAACATTATGTAACTATTATCTATTATTTAGGCAAGTGCAATAGGCCGTGAAAGTGGTACAACAACAAAATCGTTGGAAACGAACTTTTCAATAGCGAAGAAAGGTATATTAGGTGCTATAGAACTAGCTTTACAAAGTCTCTGTACGGTTACTAAGCCTGATGCCAATTATATTGATGTAGGAGTTATAACACCAAATCGTCCGTTTGAGGTTAGTTATTATTATAAGTATTTATTATAGAATATAAAGATTTTTTTATGAGTGAGAAATTGCAGTATTAAGATAATGTAATGTTAATATTCAAACGAAGCAATTCAGGTCAAATGTGTACAATGCAGTGCTACCAACCACTGTACCGCAGAACTCTTAATGTTAAATCGGAGGCGACAATTTTTAATATTTGGTAAATGATAGTTATGAACGATTATATTATTTCTATAATATATTAGATACTTGGTAAAACGATTTGAGGTTGTTTGAGGGAGTTATGTATATTATTATTAATTTATACATGACGGATTCGCATGGTACTATTTCTCAAGTTCTTGTAAGTAGAAAGTAGTAAATAAAAAAGACATGTACATGATTCATATTATCACGCTAGATAAAAAAACCAAAAACCTTTGTTTATAGTTAATTTATTTTTTTAATCTTTTAATTTTGTTACAACTTTCCCGAAAAAATTTTTTTTTTTTAAGAGATATTATTAATATAGTTATTATACAGATACATATTTTATTAATTATTTTAACAAATATTTTACGTAATCGTAAAATACATTATTATAAAAATAATAATTATTATTTCTTGCAAATAGTTCACTATTATCACAACAATTTTCACAAGCATTAGTATTTAATAACATTGTTATTTTTTTTTGATTATAGATGGTCGACAAAAACATAGTTCAAGCATGTTTGAATCAAATGACTATTATAAAAATCGAAAAGTGATTCAATGATGTTAGTTAAGTGCCATTTATTCAAAATTTTCACTAATTGTAAAATTCGATTACTCTACGAACCACTATACATTTTCACCAATCATCTTCATATCAAAAAAAAATGTTTAATAGATATATTTTAACTATTGTTAAGTGTACTGGTGTAGTTTAAAGTGTCGTAAGTATAAAAAAAGTACTACCAACTACTTACATGATTTTAAGTAAATGTAATAATATTTTGTATAAACTTTTTTACCTTATCGCAATGTTTGCCAGAATATATTGAATTTTATATTATCGGACATCAGAATAAAAAATTTGTTGTATTTTAACCAAGCTCGTCTAAGAATATTCATAATATAACAAGTATTACTTGTGTATAAGTAATTTATCCAATGTGGGCATAAATAAAACAAACAAAAACTAAAAAAAATTGTAAAAAATACTAACGCTATTGGCTATACAATTACAACCAATGAAAGTTGGACCTATATAATACTTATGATAAATTTTCCTATTATCAAGTAATTCTTTTATTTTATATATTTTGTTAATATATTAATTAATTTGGTACTTGCTAATTTCTTTCGATCTACATAAATCGATGTATATATTGTATATATACTCAATGCTATTAGCCAAAACATCGGTATGATAAGCAGCCAAATTTAAAGCTAAATTTATAATTTTTTAACTTATCCAAGTAAATACTTATCATTAATTCTCAAGTGGTATTTATAAACGATACTAAGTTTTTTCTTCCCAAAGTTTCTTTTATGAAAATTTAAAGTGATAATATTATTTAAGAACAAAGTATCAAGATCATACAGGTGTTCAAAAAGTTTGAAATTTTTTTTGATATTCTCTTAGCAATTAATATGTTAAATATAAAAATTTTAAAAATACTTTTTAATACCATACGGTTCAAAAGTTATTGCTATTTAAAGCTCATGTTAGTACTCTATTCAGAGGAATTTTTTAATATATTCAAGTCGGATAATTTTATGTGGCTTTTATCAAATGTGTTAATCAAATTCAATTAAATTGAATTAATATCTTTAACTGTTCTTTGAAAATTTGTTTAAAAAAATTATAACATTATTAAGTTGGTTTGGCTTGAAGTTATTTTTCTAAGAAAGGTATTACATATTATAAGTTAACAGCTTGCAAATGAGTCCACGACACCACGGGATATATTTTAATGTATCTAAAGTGGCTAGTAAACATATCAAGTTTCTGGCTAATATTTTAGTTTTTTCATAATATCTGGCCCAAAACAATTCATAGAGAATTTTGCCCCTTAAATTATTGAATTTATTATTCATTTCTATTTTGAACGTTGTGAATACAACATATATGCCCCTCCCCCATTCCCAACCCTCATCTCTCACCCCTTCCCTTATCTCTTATCAGATAAATCAGCTGTTATTTTTCGTTATGATAAGCGGTGTCTGTGTCGATTTTCCGTGTGTGTGCCATAGCAAAGACATCAAAATGTCAAAAATATTTTTTTTTCAGGACGCTAATTGCGCGTTTCAATGCTTTAGTTACACAACAAAAGACCGAAGGTTCGAAACCTTATTATAACTGTACTTATAAGACTTGGTACAGACTACACGTAATAAATAATAATGACTGGCGATCGCGCGCGGCTCCGTGCCATTGTCGGCAACCGCAATGCTATTTCAAATAATGGTTATTAGTTATCACTTATCAAATAGGTACGAACGTTCCTAAACTGAGTGTTATAGCTTGAGTGATAAAAATAATTTATATTAAATAAATAAAACAACAGCTATTATAAATCATTTAGATTGTATTTAATTTTAATAGACATAACTGAAACACATTAACTTGAAGACTTATGAAGTTTATGACACAAGTACAAGACCATACATATGAGCAACAATGTACATACTTATAATGATATAGTAGTTAGTACAACTAGCGTTATAACACGATTGTGTCCGAATGATAACAACAACATGTTGAGTGTTACCAACATGTCACCTCCTCATTTAGTATAAAAAGTACATTAGACAAATTACACATTAATTGTACATCATAATAATTATAACAAGTACCGTAAAAAGGGGTGAATAGAAACAAAATCTGAAAAGTTATTACTTCGATGTCCCCACAGTTGAGTTTTCAAGTTATCAATCTAAAACCTTCATTAAATCGAACTCACATTAGTACGAAATTCGAGTAATACTAAACGTTGCATTTATTTTTACCTCCATACGGATAGACATTGATAAGCACTCGTGATAATTTTCATATCATATTATTATTAAAATCTAAGTTACTCGTTATGATGTTGTTTTGTTAAAGTTTTTTATTTTCTTACTTTTAAAGTATTTAAAATATTATTAAGTTTAATTAATCGTAAGTATTATTTACTGTTATAACTTAAACATTTTAATAGGTCAATTTTAATGACCTAAGCCATTTTAGGGGTGAAAAGAAACAAAAACAATGGGTCGGACGTATGTACCAGGACGTCGAGGACGTCAATACAAAAAGCCCAACAAAAATGACCTGGAAGCTGCTATAAGAGCTATAAAAGCACGCCAGGTGACTTACAGAGAAGCTGAGGAAGTGTATGGGATCAGCTATTCGGTAATATATCGTCACTTAAAAAATCCAATCATTAAAACCCAAGGCGGGCAAAGAGCTTTAACTACAGCTGAAGAAAAATTGCTAGTTTCTTCTATATTGGTTTGTGCTGAGTGGGGCTATCCACTCGATAGATTTGATATTAGGTGTTTAGTAAAAGGTTATCTTGATTGGCGTGGAAAGAAAGTAAAACAATTTAAAAAAAAACAATATGCCCGGTAAAGATTGGGCGGACGGATTTTTGATTCGACATAAAGAAAAGTTGTCCCTGAGGTTATGCCAAAATATTAAACGTTCTAGAGCAGGATTATCAAGAGAAATTCTTAATAACTATTTTGACAATCTGGCAGTATCCTTGGAAAATATACCTCTATCTAATATTGTTAATTACGATGAGACTAATTTAGTCGATGATCCCGGTCGACGAAAAGTAATTACTAAACGTGGATGTAAGTACCCAGAGCTTGTGATGAACAATAGTAAGGCATCAACTTTAGTTATGTTCGCAGCTGCTGCTGATGGCAAGCTACTTCCTCCATATGTAGTTTATAAATATACTCATATTAGTGATTTATGGAGAGTAGGAGGACCAAAACATGCACGTTTTAACCGTAGTAAATCAGGTTGGTTTGATAGTTTTTGTTTTGATGACTGGGTAAAAACAATTGCAGTACCATATCTATCAAAACTACCTGGCAAAAAAGTTTTAATATGTGATAATCTTTCTAGTCACTTGTCCACTGATTCCATAGAAGTTTGTAAAAATCATAACATTAAGTTCATTTTTCTTCCTACAAACTCTACACATCTCACCCAGCCACTAGATGTTGCCTTTTTTAGGCCACTTAAAGTCCATTGGCGCAACATACTTGAACAATGGAAAAAGGTTAATGGACGAAATGAAATTTCTATTCCAAAGGATAGGTTACCAATGCTACTTAAACGACTTTTTGTAAAAATTAGTGAAGGCAGAAGAAAATATAAAATCTGGATTTAACAAATGTGTAATCATTCCTTTCAACAGGGACCGTGTTCTTAATATGCTTCCATCCGAGACTCGTAATATGGTGGATAATGACTTTATTAGTGCCCCAGCTCAAGCCAGTAGTAGTAATTTGGGGCTTTACCGCCCATTTTTACAAATTGTAGTAAATTAAACTAGAAATGAATAACAACATCTCTTTATATAGTATAATACCTTTTATTAATCATAATAATTATAATATTTCATGATTTATCAATCTGTATAGTGTAAAATAAACTTACATAAAGGTTTTTTGTCTCTATTATTCAAAGCTAAATCAATTTTAAATTACATAAATTCTACCTAACACACATGAAAATTATCCTGAAGAACCGAATCCTTTTTCTCCTCTATCAGTTTCATCTAATGACCGAAGTTCCCTGAGTTCTGGATACACAATTTTTTCACATATTAGTTGTGCTACTCGATCTCCACGTTGAACGATAAAGTCTACATCAGAATGATTGAATAGGAGAATACCAACGTTTCCGCGGTAATCTTGATCAATTACTCCAGCTAGGATTTTAAAAAAAAAATATATAACATTTTATTTAGTGATTAGATTTTATAAGCATACCTCCAACATCAATAAAATGTTTCCATGCTAATCCTGATCTCGGTGCAATTCTTCCATATGTACCATGTGGTACCACAATTTGTAGATCGGTCTTAATCAATTCTTTTCCATGTGCTACTACAATATATTGGTATGCACTTTTTAGATCGTATCCAGCCGCATGTTGACTTCCTCTAATCGGCGTGTATGCTTTATCGGTTAATTTAGAAAATAAAAGCATCTAAAGTTTTAAACAATCATTCATTCATAATAATCTTTATTTAATTTAACCCTAGCTTCATTTACTAATTTTATCATAGCATCATTCGTTTTTTTGTCTAAACTTTTTTCTAATTTTTTTTCTAATTCATCATTCATTAACGTCATATTTATTTTATTTTCCAAACTAGTGATACATTCTTTGAATGAGTTATTTAATTCAGATTTTATTGTTTCTATCGTATTTTTTGAAACATTAGTTATTGATTCATTATGTGTATTTAGTTTTTTTTCTAAACTATCTTTTAAACCAGTCTGAGTTTCTAAGATAGAATTTTTTATACTATTTTCCAAATCAATTAATTTCGAATTTAAATATTTACTAACTCCGATATCATTGAAATGATTTATATGATGACCAAAATAATCCATTATTAATTTAAAAATAGAGATCTTAACAGTGACAAGGACTTCTTATATACTAAAACCAAAACAAAAAAACTATATTATACGAGTTTACGCACTTCTCGGGTAAATGGCGAATACTCAACTATGCGGTCGTGTATTAACATACAATAAGCACTAACACCAG